CCCCAAAACCCCAAAACCCCAAAACCCCAAATTAGCATTTATTGGTTGAAACAGAATTATAGAGCTAAACCTTAAGCTTGGAGATATGGGAAGCAGGAGGGTATTTATCAATACCAGAGAGCTTAGGCTTGGACCATTTAGTCTCCTCTTCTATTTGCATTGGATTAAACACTTGCTCTGTAAATCTGAAATCTTCTGGGTTTTTGATCTATAACAGTTAGAAAAACAATACTTTATCGATAATGAGGTTATTGCCAATTATTTTGTAAACTAAATTTTATCAAAATCTTTTACTGTCATTTTCAAGTTCTGTTGTGTTAACTTGTCCTCATTTCTGTACTCAATCTTCAACTTTGCCTTTGAACTCTTTTGAAGGTTCATCGTTATTCCTTGGTATTGAGTCTATCTATCATCTAGTTCCTTACTAAACTCTAGTGAAAACATTTCCAAATGCTCATTTTGCTGGCCTTTAGTGCTGAAGCCCATGAGCATTCTCTGGTGTTCCTTAAGCACAGTCCTGACCATGAGCTTGAGAGTCCTGATCGAGTGGATGAGTTCGACAACATCTCACTCTCGACTAAAGCTGAGAGACTTCCTACCTGAACTGGTCTGAGTGGAGGTCGAACTTGCGTTTGGCTCTGCTGCTGCAGAAGGGCAGCAGGATTTTGAGGTACTCTGAAGTTGTGAAGCAAGTTCTTCTGAGATTTTTGAAATTAGACTTTATCGCATTTAATCCAACATTTGTTCTGTCTTTGTCTTGCTGATTCTTGCTTAAGGCAAAATCTCTATCATCTGATGAATGATTTGATGCTAAGCCTACCATGCAAGCTTTTACTGAGTTTGAGGTTAAGCACTGTATCATTTGGATTTCAGTTTATGTCTTTATTTGTTGGCACCCTTTTCTTTTGGATAAATTCTTTCATTTTTGTTGAGATCTGTTTCGAATTCCTGGCCATTTGAGGTGTAGAGAAAAGCAAAGAGTGATGTTAGAAAATATTTTTGATTGAAGAAAGATGTGAGTATGAATCCTAGTTGCAAAAGCATCCCAAACACTCCACCAATCTGGCTGATGGCATCTAAAAATGAGAATATTGTTCTTTCATATGTAAAGACTTGCGAATCTTGATTTAATGTAATTGTCAACAGTTCTGAATCTCCTGATTGATTCTCTTTAAAGTCAGATTTTTGTTCCCCTAGCATAAAGAATTCTGATTGCTCACTTTGTCCAAACTGGAAGTAATGATTGACGTCATTGACTTCAGCTTTCTGGATTGTGTAAGTCTTTGTTTTATGAAAATTGAGATTTAAATAGACCGAATGTCCAGTCTCAAATACAGTTTTAGAAGGATTATTGTAATCTTCAAAGTCGAAGTACTGTGATATAAAGGCAACTATAAATGAGCTATTTTGGATTTTGTTCTTGATCTGTGCTGGGCTTTTACAGACCACAGAGGTTCCATTAACTCATCTTTCAACTCTGATAGAGACAAATTTTCTTGAATCTGAGAAAGCACTTCCTTTCACAGTAAAGTTTTGGTTATCAACTCATTGTAAGATATTTTTAGCTAAGTTCTTTGTTTTCTGGAAGCTTTCATCAACATAAGGAAAGTTGTCTCCTCAAGTAGAGAATGATCTGTCTTCTATTTGAGAGGTTCTTTCTCCTGTGTTTTGATCAAAATTAACAGTATTTTGGACAATAGAGATGTTGAAATAGCTGGGATCATATCCTCTCCTGCCTGTAGTTAAATCTTGGAGCACAAATGCAAATGCGAAGTTATTTCTATTGAGATTATACCGAGCCAGGATTATAAAAGCGGAGAGTATACTTGTGGTGGATTTAATAGAAGTAATAAGAAGAACTAATTGTTCATCTATCAATATGCTATTCTCGTAGAAAATAGGAACCATTAAATTAAGAGAGAGATGGTTTATCTTGTAAAGAAAATCTGTGATCTCATTAAAAATCCTTTAGTATAAATAAGTCCAAAAATATTACCTATTTAATTCATACTCAGGTGGGTTGTTCTGTATATCTTTGATCACTCTGTTGAGTGTTTTCTGAGTCTGCTGCTTTTGAAACATAATTGCAAAGATTCTGGCTGAGTAAGATATCAGTATGGTCAAAATTATCAGACTGATAATGCCTCCGTAAAGAGTCTGGAAGCTCTCTTTACCTTTGAAGGTGAGACTTACTTTCTGAGGGAAGAGATCAGTCTTCCTCACAGAGGTTTTTAAGAAGTTCCCTATTTTCTTCATTATTATATATAATTTCAGGATATATTTTTATATCAGGGGTTTTGGGGTTTTGGGGTTTTGGGG